AGACGCAGAAAAATGACTAAGAGGGTGGACGTGCCGCTGAGAAAGGAAGAATGAAGCCAGAGGGACATGAAGAATAGGAGGAAGGCGAGAGAAAGGAAAGGGAGAATAGGGAAAGGGAGAATAGGGAAAGGGAGAATAGGGAAAGGGAGAATAGGGAAAGGTTATGGGGGTTGGGCGGTAGATGATACAAAGCTAAGGAAGAAGGAAGGAAGGAGGAAGAGAGGTAAGGAGGATAAGGTGTAAGAGGGAGCGGGGAAGGAAGGGGGGAGGGTTAATATACCCCACTTTGAACGTGCAACGATGCTGTTCTGTTGCAACGGTCTGCGCTAGGAAGTGCAACTGAGGATGTCTGGGTGAGAGGGGGAAGGGGGGAGGGGGACGAGAGGGATGGTATAGAGCTGTGGTAAAGAGTGTGGGGGGGGGGAGGTGCTGTGTGGGTGTGGAGGGAAGGGGGTATATTGTGTTTGTGTTTCTCTGTCTATGGCCATGCGTGCGCTTATGTTTGCGTGCAGCTGACTAAGCCCTCGAGGGATAGTGGGAAAGGGAGAGGAGGAGGGGGAGGGGAAGGGGAAGGGGAAGGGGAAGGGGAAGGTGGTGGTAGTGTAGGAGTGGTTTGAGCAGATATCCTGCATGGTCGGCCAGGGTGATGCTGATGATGGAGAAGAGGATGTAGGATGGGGCGAGGATGTTTTGCCTCCCCCAGATGTAGGTCTTGGCTCCTCGTCCGCCTTGTCGCTTTTACTGTATTGTCTTCCTTTTTTCTGCTCTTTCTTCGCTTATTCTCTCTCCTTCCCTCCCTCTTCCCCTCTCCCTCTCTCTTTCCCGCCCCTTCCCTCTCCCCCTCTCTCTCTCTCTCACTCTCTCTCTCTCTCTCTCTCTCTCTCTCTCTCTCTCTCTCCTCTCTCTCTCTCTCTCTCTCTCTCTCTCTCTCTCTCTCTCTCTCTCTCTCTCTCTCTCTCTCTCTCTCTCTCTCTCTCTCTCTCCCCCTCCCTCCCTCCCTCCCTCTCTCCCTCTCTCCCTCTCTCCCTCTTCTCCCTCTTCTCCCTCTTCTCTCTCTTCTCCCTCTTCTCCCTCTTCTCCCTCTTCTCTCTCTTCTCCCTCTCCTTTCCCTCTTCCCTCTTTCCTCTTCCCCTTTCCCTTTCAGAGATAGTCTGAAGTAGCGCAGGTGCGTGTCTTACGGATTGTTTCAATACCTTACTCTTGCTTGGGGAGAAGGTTGGGGTGTAATGTAGGGGGACGTGTGTGTGTGTGTGTGTGTGTGTGTGTGTGTGTGTGTGTGTGTGTGTGTGTGTGTGTGTGTGTGTGTGTGTGTGTGTGTGTGTGTGTGTGTGTGTGTGTGTGTGTGTGTGTGTTTGTGTGTTTGTGTGTGTGTGTGTGTGTGTTTGTGATTGTGTTTGTGTTTGTGATTGTGTTTATATATGTATGTATGTATTTTTAAATAATTATTTCAATTAATGTTTCTTCGTAAATAAAAGTTAGAGAGAGGGAGAGATTAATCCAAACCGGAGAGATCTAAAAGTAGTATGGTAACGACTGTAGGTCACACGAACCGCCGATCTCTGAGGATAAACTTGGAACGCTAAGGAAGCTTTAGAAGCTGAGGTTTTGAAGGGCAACACGCCAAAGCTGGCGGTGGTCTGCTCACTCAGTAGACGCTACTGTTGTGGAGTAGTTTGTGGTGAGCACATGTGCTTTTAGAGCGGGTATACTCAAAACACGCGTACTCACATGGGCATACGCACGCACACACATACGCGCACACACACACATACGCGCACGCACACACATACGCGCACGCACACATACACACGCGTACGTACACACACACGAGCACACACACACACACGAGCACACACACACACACGAGCACACACACGAGCACACACACGAGCACACACACGAGCACACACACGAGCACACACACGAGCACACACACGAGCACACACACGAGCACACACACACGAGCACACACACACACACACACACACACACACACACACACACACACACACACACACACACACACACACACACACACACACACACACACACACACACACATATGCACGCACGCACACACACGAGCACACGCACGCACGCGAGAGGAGGGAGAGAGGAGGAAGAGGGGAGAGAGAGAGGAGAGATAGAGGAGGGAGAGAGAGAGTGAGGGAGGGAGAGAGATATAATGGAAAGAGAAAAGAAAATGGAAGAAAGGAAAAAAAGAAGAAAAAGACAAAGAGCGAAGAGGAAGGAAGGAAGAAAAAGAGAATAATAATAATAATAATAAGGAAAAAACCCAGCCAAAACAGTAAGATAGCCCTAGATGGAGAGCGAGAGCGAGAGCCGCCCAAACGCCTCCAGTGACTTTGAGGCGTTGGAGTCGATGTAGCGAGACAAGTGTGTCAGGGTGAGGCGAGGGATCCGAAGAAGGAGGGGGGGGAAGGGTTTTAGGGTTAGGGGGGAGAGAGGGGGAAAGGGGGGAGATGATGCCGCCCTTCATCCCTAGGGCTTCTGGGTGGTAAAGGGCGCTTGATGTATGGGGCTACTCGTACTTGTTTTTTTTTTTCTTCTTCTTCTTCTTCTCCTATATGTTGTTGTTATGATTATTGTTGTTATTATTGTTGTTATTATTGTTATTATTATTGTTATTATTATTGTTATTATTATTAATATTATTATTATTATGATGATGATTATTATTATTGTTATTATTATTATTATTTTTACTACTATTACTAATACTACTACTATTATTATTATTATTATTATTATTATTATTATTATTATTATTATTATTATTATTATTAATATTATTATTAGTACTATTATTATTATTATTTCTGTTATAAGAATAATGGTGATGATTATTGTTGTTATTATTACTATTACTGTTACTATTACCGTCAGTGTCACTGTCACTGTCATCACCATCACCGTTATCGCCGTCACCACCTCTGCCAGCATTGTCGATCATCACAATTTGCTATTAAATTGGCATCCTCTTTGTAGCATATCTTTGCGTGTGTGTGTACATACGTACCCGTGTATGTGGCTGCGTGCGTGCGTCTGTCGGGGATTCTAGTGTTTGCACCTCTTGGTCTCAAAGTTTTAGTAATTTTGTTTGCTATTGTGTTGGACCTTTCTTTAAATTTAGGGCGTGTTGTTTGGTCATCTGTATTTCAGCTAATGTTTATATGTACTGCGTAAAGTTGTATCAGTTAGTATTGTTTAAAAAGATACGAATATATATATGTTCAGCGTATTTATTTTTATTTTATTTTATTTTATTTTGTTTCATTTGTTCCCAAATGGATTTCCTTTTCAATGAGTTTACTTATAGTTTGCCTTCGTCCTTGCAGAGCGCTCCTGTTCCCAGCGGTGAACTCCCGGCGGCGGTTCCTGATCCACAACACCGTCCAGGAGTACTTCCCCGGCCTGACCACCGTCAGCGTGGGCCACGGGGAGCAGCGCCGCACCGTCGTCACCTTCAGGAACTCGGCGGAGGACGCGCAGGAAGCAGCCCAGCACCGGCCGTCGAAGCAGAAGCAAGAGGAACAAAAGGAAGAAGAAATAGGAGAAGGAGGAGGGAGAGGAGGAAGGGGAGGAGGAGGACGACGTAGAGAAGCAGCAGCAGGAGCCGCAGGAGCAGGATCGACAGGAGGCGGTCCCGAAGAGAGACTCCCGAAGAACGAGGACCGGAGGGACGACGCCACCACGAAGGCCGCCAAGCTCCAGCACCACCAGCAGTGCCCGCAGCAGAAACAAGCGCCGCCGGCCCAGCAGCAACAGCAGCAACACAGTCGGGGATCACAGCAGCACAAGGGCCCCCAGCAGCAGGCTGAGCAGAGGCAGCAGCAGCAGAGGAAGGGGTCGCAGCATCAGCTCAATAACGTAGGACCACAACAGCAACAACAAAAGCAACAGTTACAAGAACAGCAACAACAGCAGCAACAGACTTCAGGTAAACAAAGACAGCGATCGAGGAAAGCCCGCAGTCGCAGTTGTCACTCCGAGCCAAGGAACGGCGGTCGCCAGCGCCAACAACAGCAACAACAACAACAACAGCAACAGCATCATCAACAACAGCATCAACAACAGCAGCATCAACAGCAACAGAAGCAGCAGCATCAGGGGAACAACGGCGGAGGCGGCGGCCCGAAGCATGACGAGCGGCAGGTGAGAGAGGACACGCCGCCAGAGGACTCGCAGAGCAAGAAGCGGCGAAACCGAAGGAACAGGAAGCAGCGCGAGAGGCAGGAGCAGCTGCAGCAGCAGACCCAGCCTCAGCAGGCGGAGCATGTGAACGGGAGACACGAGGACGAAGACGAGAGGGACAACCCAGTGCCATACCGCGCCGGCCATAACCACCACAGGGGTGGAAATCATGCCTTTGAGCGCAGGGGAGCAGCCCCAGTGAGAGCGAGCGGAGGAGAGTCCGAGTGGGACTTGTGTGCCCGGGGAGTCGAGGGCCATGTGAGTGAAAGCGGTGGGAAAGCAAACCGAGTGAAAACTGAGAGTGAGAGCGATAAAGCGAGGAATAGCAACGCCGGACAAGGAAGCGGAGGAGGACCTACCTCGTTCAGAGAAGACGGCGGCGATCTAAGGTAATTGATAGTTTATTGACTCTTTTCGTTATTCTTGGTGTGGTGGCGGTGTTATTTTCAGCAAATTGGGGGGTGGGGAGGCACATTTGACGGCAGAGGGTTAGTCTTCTTCCAATATTTCCCGGGTTTTGTTTTATCGTCTGAGCTTTTGTATCTCTCTTTTCTTTTCTCCTTTTTTCCTTTCCTTCCTTCCAGTTGTCTTCATTCTCCTCTCTAGCCCTGTATTTATTGACGCATTCATTGGCGTCGGAATATTTTCATGCTATCAACCATCTCCAGCCACAGCTCTATCACCCCCCCCCTCCTCCTCATCCCCCGTGTCTTCATACCACATGTGTCTTTGACAGTCCTCCTCCATTCCCCTCGCACACTCTTCATCCTCCCTTCCTACGTAACCCATTCGTTCTTCCCACCCTTCTCTCCTTTCCCTTCCCTCCCTTCCCTTCCCTCCCTTTCCTCCATTCCCACAATCCTCCCTTTCCCCCCTTTCCCGCCTTCGCCCTGTCTCATTTTCCCTTTCCCCCTTTTTCCCGCTTTCCCCCCTTTCTCCCCTTTCCCCCCTTTTCCCTTCCCCCTTTTTCCTTTCCCCCTTTTTCCTTTCCACCTTTCTTCCCATCCTCTCTTAATTCCCTCTTCTCTTCCTCCCTTCTCTTTTTCCCCTTTGCCTCCCACGCCACAGTCCTCGATGAGACTTCAGTGTCCAATATCGCCTTTAAAACAGCCCCTTGCTTTGATTTCCTCTCTTCCCCCGTCCTCTCTTTCCCCCCCCTCCCCTTCCCTGCCTCCCCCCCTCCTTCCCTCCTCCGCTGTACTCTTGCTCTATAACATGTACTCAATGCCCTCCCCTTGGATGCCACTACAGTTTGCCCTCTGCTCTTTCCCCTCTTTTCCCCTCTTTCCTTTCGGTTGCTCTTGGTTGTCTTCGCGGGCTTGGTTTCGTGTTTCGTTTGTTTGTTTGTTTCTGGTTCGTTTCTGCGTCTTATCAGTAGCATAATAGCATGTCCTAGAGCATTGGTTCGATTCCCGTTCACCCCCGCCCCCCCCTCGACGGACCCCTTTTTATTTATTAAAGCCACGGATGTAGACATTGATTGGACATGGCTTGCTGTGACATATCTTACGGTGGGATCTTGGAGTGTACGTGGCCAGACATGTCTAAACCTTTGCGGATACATTTGTTTATTCAATTTATCGCATCTCCGGTGAGATTGGTTGCTAAGCAGAAATCAGTTGGCACAGCATCTCACGGTCCCGCCGGGGTAGAGGCAGTTTCTCATTCTATCTCTTATCTTTTTGTGTTCTTTTTTTTTTTTAATTCTCTGTCTCTTCTCCCTTTCTTGTTTTATCTTCCTTTGTCGTTATCGATGATGCACGTAATGCGTTGGTCCTTGAACAGAATGTCGCGTGGATTTATTCTTTAAATGTTGGAAGTCATTGGAAATGAAAACAGAAAAAAGGGAGTTGGGAGAAGGAGAGGGGAAGATGAAGAGGGAAATTAAACGGCGATGGGGAGGCGAAGAGGGAGAAGGAGAGGGAAAAGAGAGAGAAGGAGAAGGAATAGGTGGAGGAGAAGAAATAGGTGGAGGAGAAGAAATAGGTGGAGGAGAAGGTGCAGGAGATGGAGAAGAAGAAGGAGAAAAAACAACGAAAGAGTTTGAAAGGAAGGGGAGAAGAAGACAGGGGAAGAAAAGTATTCCAAGTCCGATATGCGTACTTGCGTCCCCGCGGAGGAGGTGGTCCTCCCGATCGGCCGTGGAGGAACAGGGGGGGGGTGGGGGGAAGGGGGAATGGAGTAGAGAGTTGAGAGGGAAAGAGGGGGTGGAGGAGTGGGGAGGGGTGTAGAGAGGAGTTGATGAGGGGAGAAGGGAGGGGATGAAGGAGGGAGAATAAAATAGGGAAGCTGAGTTGGGGAAAAATACTAAGAGGGAGAGGAGGAGGAATGCAAGAGTGAAAAGAGGAGTGGAGAGAGGGGAAAGAGGAGCAGGGAGTGGGAATAAGGGAGTGGCGAGGGAGAACAGGTGAGTCAGCGTGGGAAGAGATTGCGTTCGCGGCGGATGTGGATCTGGCGAAGGATCACTTTTTCTGCATTCATTTGTTTCAGTTAGATTATTCTTATTTTTTTAAGTGTGGCTCAGTTTTGAGTTTGATCGGGTTTTCTGTCCTTTTCGAGTCATTGTTCCCCGTTATTCTTTAAGATAAAAAAGGGAAATAAGTGGCGTATGTTTTGGTATTGGTTTGAGGAAACTTCATTTTTGTTTATTCTTTTTCCTTTTCTTTTTTTGTTTATGTAGGTATGTGTTATCTTGGCACTTCGCCAAACTTTTAGAATAAGTGCCACGCCCATGCTGGCTGTTACGAACCAAGTTTGTAATTATACTGTTATTGCCTGCAAGTAACCTAATTACGTACTTTCTCTCGGTTGCTAGTCATTGTTACAATCATAATGTGCATAAAGCAATATATGAATGATGTTGCGCAAGTTAATTAAACTGGGTCGCGACTGAACAACTGAGGGTTCGTACATTTTCCTCTTTCTTAGGGAGAAACTTCGACGTTAATGTGGAAAGGCAGAAGTTTGGGTGAAGTCTTAAACGAGGAAGTTTAATAGATAGTTTTTTGCGTAATTGTATTTTTATCTTGCACATTTAAGAAAGAAAGGGAGAAATCTGGCAACTAACGGGAGGACCTGCGCAGTTTGGGTGAGCCTGTAGACATGCAACATTGCAGTCTCAAATACTTTGCAAGGATCTCTAGTCAAAAGGCTGGCACGTGCTAGAAAAAGGTAGACAGAAAAAATCAGATTTAAAATACACGTTTATACACAGTATATTAATACATGTCAGCAAGCGATCAGACTTAAAATACACATTGTTCGACAATATAGTAATACGTGTGAACAAGCGAGCATATTTAGAATTATACTTGATAAGCTGTTACTCATGTTTATTTTTGAGCGCATTGACATTTACAAGCATAATTAGCCTCTCAGTCGTTGTTGTTTTTCTGATTGTAATTGCTTGTTTCCTTTTATTTGTATTATTTATACAAGCATATGACAAAGAGTATGTGCCGATTTTCATTATCTTTTTTTTTTTTTTATCTCCCGGCTGTCTCTCGTGGAATAATTCTGAAATAGATCATTCTAAAGTTACGTTATGTTTGACCCTTAATGACCATAGCCATTTTTAGGAAGCTTAATTACGACGATATGCCAATATAGAGAGAAAGGAGAGCACACAACAGCTGATCTCCGGCGTAATGACAAGGCGCAGTTGTCACCACCAGAGCGACGTGACGGGAACGGGGCGGGGTCGACTTTGACGGCGAGGGGGCGAGTCGGGATGTTTTTCGAACACTTGTTATTTAAGCTTCAAGAAAGGCGGGGAAGGGACGGGGGGGGGGGGTCCAGTGAGTTTGTTTTCTCTAATGTTGCTTCTATTTATCTTTCTGTGTGTGTGTGTTTTTTTTTTTTTTCATTCCTCTTTTCCTTTGGTGCGAACCGTTATGGAGATACATGTCTCTCTCTCACATACGCAAAAAAGAAACACGCCTTGGTTGACTTTAACGTGAGGAACGAATGGTGGTAATGGATGAGATGGTGATGAAGACAATGGAAATGTTAAAGAGAATGACGATGAAGAGGATAACGATGACGATGAGGGTGATGATGATGATAATGACGATGCAGATAATGACGACGACGATGATGATGATGGCTTTGATTATAGGGATGGCAAGAGGAAGGAAAGGAAGAGAAATAAGAGAGAAGGAAAGATCTGAAAAGTGGCTCGGACGGGGAGCCTTCAACAGGTGCTTCTGTTTCCCCCGGAGAGGGAACTTCAGGGAAGTTTACGGTAGTGAGCATTGGGGTTAGGGAGGGATTCAAGGTGGGGGTGAGGATACGGATTAAGGGTTGGGATGGGGGGGGGGGGGCTGTGGTTGCCAGCTAAGCGGACGGTCACGCGTCAGGACATCTGGATACCCGAAGCGTGTGTGTGTATGTGCGTGCGTGCGTGTGTGTGTGTGTGCTTGCAGGATGAGTGGGCGGCGTACCCTGCATGGGGCTTCTCTTTTTTCTTTCTCTTTGTTTTGTGGTGGAGGAAAGGGAAAGGGAGGTTGGAGAGGAGGGAGAGTAAAGGAGAGGGAGGAAGGGGAAAGGAGAGAGGGAGAGGGAAGAAGGGGAGGGGGTAGGAGAAAGGAGAGAAGGAGGGAGGGAGGGAGGGGGAGGGGGTAAGGAGGAAGAGGTAGGAGGGAAGGGGAGGACAGAAGAGGGAGAGGAGGAGGGACAAGGGAGGGAGGTGGTGCACGAGGCAAGGTGAGGCAGGCAGGGTCCTCCTCCGCCCGAGTTGGCACGGCGGCCGTCCCTTCTGGGCCAGTGCCAGGCTTCCGTCACCGACACCAGCAGCCCAGCGGCAGCAGAGGCTACAGTTCTCGGTAGCGAGTGGTGGCGACGTCCCTGCGGCGGGGCTCGTGTGTTTGTGGAGCTCTTACTCGACTTGGCCTTATCTTCGTGCTAGGAAGCGAGGGGCTGTTACGCCGTCCTTTCTCCCGTTCTTTTGTCTCTGCGTCCCCGCTACCTACACCCTACTCCCCGTGGCGCTGCATCACCTGTGGTGTGGGTGTGCGTGCGGGCATGCAGGATGCTCGCAGACGGTGCCGAGTCATTATAGGGAGAGAGGGAGACTTCTTGGAAATCTTTTCTCGACGGCAACGGGGACCACAAGGACCTTCATCCCTGCCCGACCAACCGACTCCCCAACCTTCGGGCGGCATTCGGATCGGGTCGAATCGGGTCGGAGTGGTTCCCAGCGTCGTGTCATCAGCGAGACGTTTCGGCGTTAGTCACGGTGCCATGTCAAGGTGAGCATGAACGGCCTTATTACGCCCGTCGACGCGCTAGAATTTCCGCGGTTGGGACGAACGCAAGAGGGGGAGAGGGTAGCGGGGGAGTAGGACGCACACGTGGCTCTTTAAGGCGAAAAGGTCACGTGTTGATATCC